ATTTTTATATCTATATACAACGTGCATGGATCCACTGTAGGGAAATAGAATGGAAGAAGAGGAATTATGTCCACTCCACAAATTATATCATCATTGGGGTGGGCAAGTAGGGAATACTGCCAAGCTCATGTTGCAAAACTTAAGACCAGAGAAGCTAAAGGATTTGAACATTTTTTTGAAAAGATTGATTTTTATTCATTTGAAATACAGAGTTAGAGAGAGGCAGAAACAGAGAGGGAGAGGTCTTCCATCCACTGGTTCATGCCCCCAAATGGCCAGAACGGCCAGAACTGGGCTGATCCAAAGCAGGAGCTTCTTCCAGTTCTCCCACATGGGTGCAGGGACCCAAGGACTTCAGACATCTTCCAATGCTTTCCCAGATGCATTAGCAGGGAGCTAGATGGAAGTAGAGCAGCCAGGACTCAAACAGGCGCCCATATGCGCTACAGGCAGGGGCTTTAACCTGCTGTGCCACAGCACCGGCACTGGATCTTAACATTTCTAGAACTAGAACTAGGACCTAGGCCTCCTGTCAATACCAAGAATACTCTTTCCACTACGGCTGTGCCTCACTGGCAAAGCACAAACAGTGCAAGCATCTACTGTGACATGAAGTAAACACATCCCAGGAAACAATAGGCAAAGAAAAAACAGGCAATTCACTTAAGAAAGACAAATCACCAATAAAGATATGAACAAATGGTCAACTACACTCATGACAAGTATTGAAAGAGTGAGTTGTTTCTCATCTACCTCACTGATAAAAAAGGCTAGCCAAAACTCTACTGTTGGCTGAAAGCATGGTAAACTGTATACCCACTCTGTGGGGCAACCTGGGCATATCAAATTTTAAAACATGTACATCCTTTGACCCAGTAGCTTCATTTCCAGAAATCCACTCTAGGGAGACAGAGGAGATAACTATAAATCAGAGTTTCCTAAACCTAGCTGTATATCATAAGCACTTAAACAACCTCACTCATCACCATAAGTTTAAGTTTTCACCTTGAACAAACTAGTGAAAGCAACTGTTAACCCAGCAGAGTCTTAAAATAACTAATATGGAAATGATAATTTGAGAATAAAAGAAAAACCAGCTAAAGAGAACAACAGGATTAGATAAAAAATAGTTTTCTCAGGACAGGCATTTGACTTAGCAGTTAAGATGCAGGTTAAGACACACATCTGTGTTACACACTGGAGTTCCTGGGGTACACTCCCAACTCCATCTCCTGATTCCTGCTAATGCACACCCTGGGAGGCAAGAAGTACATTCCTACCACCTACCTGAGAAACTGGATTGAATTCCCACCCTCCCTCCTGCCCCAATCATTGTGAGCATCTGAGGAATGAGTCAGAAGACAGGAGATCTCTCTGTGTGTCTCAATAAATTTTTTAAAGTTTTTTTCTCAAAGATAGAGCAGTGGAAATAAAAACAGCCAATGAAAGAGGAAATACAGGAAATGATCAAAGAATAGAAGATGCAAAACCCTAGAGAAGCAGTTACCAAGCTGAATGAGGGAAGCTTTATAACATCACATACTCAGGCTCCATTCTGAATCAGAACCTCAAAGAGTAGAACTCAGGGATTAATTTAAAAACTGCCCAGGTAATTTCACTGAACATCCCTAACTAAGAACCACAGCAGAGGCTCTCAGTCTTGTGTGTTCATTCTGTTCACCTGAGGAGCTTTTGAAAATTAAGAACAACTGAGCACCAGGCCAGCTAAATCAATCTCTGGGAATAGACTCCTTTGCAGTAATTTTCATGCATGTGGCTACAGCTGCAAACCAATGTTCTGGATTAGTGGTTTTGATGGTGTGGTTCCTAGAACAATAGATGCAGCATCATAGGAACTTCTTAGAAATGAAAATTCTTGGGCCTCCACTCCAGATGTCCTGAATCAGGTATCTGAGTAAAGTCCACAATCTTTAACAAGACTGTTTTGCATTAAAGTTTAAGGATCATCGTCCTAAAGATATTCTTACATAAAAATCATCTAGAATGCATGTCAAGACAATACTACCTGGTCAGCTGGTCTTTATCAAAATACCAAGACAATCAATGGGGGAAACACTGGTCTCTTTAACAAGCGATCCAGTACAAGAGCACAGCCACATGCAAAGAATGAAGTTGAAACCCAATCACACACCACAAGACCTAAATTCAAGAACATTGTGAAACTCAGAAGAAATTATGGGCATAAATCTTCACATTAGAATAAGCACTAGTTTCTTAGTGATGACACCAAGAGCCAAAGCAACAAACAAAAAATACACGAGACTTTATCAAAATTAAAAACGTTATACCTCAGGGGCTGACGCTATGGCATAGCTGGTAAAGCTGCTGCTTGCAGTGCCAGCATCCCAGATGGGCACAGGTTGGAGTCCCTGCTGCTCCACTTCTGATCCAGCTCTCTGCTATGGCCTGGGAAAGCAGTGGAAGACAGCCCAGGTCCTTGAGCCCCTGAACCCACATTGGAGACCCAGAGAAAGCTCCTGGCTTCGGATTGGCCCAGTTCTGGCTGTTGCGGCCATTTAGGGGGTGAACCAGCAGATGGAACACCTCTCTCTGTCTCTCTGCTTCTACCTCTCTGTAACTCTGCCTTTCACACAAAATAAAACACAATAAAACTTTGTATCTCAAGGACACCATCCAAAAAATGAAAAGGCTGGCGTTGCAGCTCACTCAGCTAATCCTCCACCTGTGGTGCCGGCACACCGGGTTCTAGTCCCCGTTGGGGCACTGGATTCTGTCCCAGTTGTTCCTCTTCCAGTCCAGCTCTCTACTGTGGCCCGGGAGGGCAGCAGAGGATGGCCCAAGTGCTTGGGCCCTGCACCCACATGGGAGACCAGGAGGAAGCACCTGGCACCTGAACAGCACAGCGCGCCAGCCGTGGCGGCCATTTGGGAGGTGAACCAACGGAAGGAAGACCTTTCTCTCTGTCCCTCTCTCTCACTGTGTAACTCTGCCTGTCAAAGAAAAAAGGAGGGGGAGGGGGAGGGGGAGGGGGAGGGGGAGGGGAGGGGGAGAGGGAAGGAAAACGATGAAAAGCCATACAACAGAAAAAAATAGTGGAGGCCGGCATAGGAGGCCGGTGCAATGGGTTAAGCTGCTTGCCTGCAACGCCACCATTCCATATGTGCTCTGGTTCCAGTCCTGGCTGTTCCACTGCTGATCCAATTTCCTGCTATTGTGCCAGAGAAGGCAGCGGAAGATAGTCCAAGTGCTTGGACCCCTGCCATCCATTTGGGAAACCTGGATGGAGTTCCTGGATCCTGGCTTCAGCCAGGCCCAGCCCCAATCATTGCAGTCATTTGGAGAGTGAGCCAACAGATGGAAGATCTCTCTTTCTTTCTCCCCATCTCTGTAACTCTGCCTTTCAAATAAGTAAATAAATAAATCTTTAAAAGAAGAAAATACTGGTAAATCATGTATCTGGCTATTGTTGAATATCAGACTATATAAAGAACACAACTCAAAAATAAAGACAAGTAATGCAATTTAAAATATGGGCAGGGTAAGTATTTGGTGCAGCAGTTAAGACACCACTTGGGACACCCTCATCCCTTATCAGAACACCTCACCTCCACTCCAAATTCCAGCTTCCTGCTAATGAATGCCCTGGGAAGCAACAGATGATAGCTCAAGTACTTGGGACCCTGATACCCACATGGAAGACCCAGATAGAGTTCCCAGCTCCTGGCTTCCGTCTGGCTCATCCCCAGGTGTTGCCATCAATTGAGGAATCAACCAGTAAGTGGGAGTAAAGATAGAGAGAGGGGTCTCCCTTTCAAATAAGTTAAAACTTTAAATATGTGCAAATGACTTAAATAGACAGATCTCCAAGGAAAATATGAAAATGGCTGACAAGCACAAGAAAATCCAGCAAGGACATCCAAACCATACCTGGTATATTACTTCACATCCATGTGAATGGTATAACAAGAAAGATAATGACATTATTAATAGCATGTGGTTGGGGCCAGTTATTCCTCTGCCTGCGGCACTGGCATCCCATATAGGCACCAGTTCTAGTCCTAAGTGTTCCACTTCCAATCCAGCTCTCTGCTATGGCCTGGGAAAGCAGTAGAAGATGGCCCAAGTCCTTGGGCCCCTGCACCCACATGGGAGACCCAGAAGAAGCTCCTGGCTCCTGGCTTCGGATCAGCACAGCTCCTGCCATTGCGGCCATCTGGGGAGTGAACCAGCCGATGGAAGACCTCTCTGTCCTGCTCACTGTCTATAACTCTACCTCTCAAATAAAATAATTATCTTTAAAAAAATTAATAGCATGTGGTTTACATCACCATTACCCAGGGAGAATGAGACCAGTTAGAAGACAAAATACAAAATAAGGCATAAAGAACTCCAAATTTAACTGCCCAGGAGAACCACCTATAATGGAAACTAAGAAGCAGCCAGCAGAGAAAATCGGGGTCACAGAAGTCCCCCCAAAAAAGGTGGGGGGTGCATATTCAGAAAGCAGACACAATCAGTGCTGCTAAATGAAAATGAAAGGTTAAGCAATATAAATGAAAATATGTAAGGGGCAGCATTGTTGGCATAGCGAGTAAAGCCGCCGCCTACAATGTCGGCATCCCATATGTGCGCCAATTTGAGTCCCACCTGCTCCATTTCCCATCTAGCTCTGCTATGGCCTGGGAAAGCAGAAGAAGGCCCAAATCCTTGGGCCCCTGCACCCACGTGGGAGACCCGGGGGAAGCTCCTGGCTTCGGATCAGCACAGCTCCAGCTGTTGTAGCCAACTGGGGAGTGAACCAGCGGATGAAAGACCTCTCTCAGCCTCTCCTTTCACTGTGTAACTCTTTCAAATAAATAAATAAATCTTTATAAAAAAAGAAAAGAAAATATGTCTTGGATTTAGTGGTATGAAAATCATGTTTCCATGAAATGATAGTGGTAAATTTGCCAAGAAATTAAGCTATCTTTCTTCACATTCTAATTTGTAATATGCCACTCAAAAGGTTTAAAATCTACCTTGATTATTAGCAATTAGTCTCACGTCCTCTTGAAAGATGAGTCTGGAAAATAAAAACTGATTACAAAAAACAAGCACCCAGCAAGCTTACAAAACCAGTGTAAGGACTTAAAACTACCTAAAAGGAATCAGACTTCACCAGACAGCTTTATAGGGTAGGGTTAACGAAGTTCCACACCACTGCTGCTTACTGCTAACAGACAGGTGTGCCGCGATCTGCCAAGCCGGTGATCCAGCCTCTGACCCTAGGAATAGGTGCCACCCCACACTACAACACGTCAGCGCAATGCGTGTAAGCAGCTCCTACAAAACAGTAACAGGCACCGGGACAGGCACCCGGATCACCGTCCACCCAAAGACACGTGTTACCCCGAGAATCCGCAAGATTCCCTAAGTACAGGAGAACAAAAAGTGAAAGAGCAGAACAGCTGCTCCTCTGGCCAACTTCGGTTTAAATTCTTCATAAGATATCTCTGTGAAAGTTGGATGATTGAAGCCCTTGCCACTTCCCACAGGTTCACTAGCGTAGAAAGTGGGAGAACAATGAAGTTAAATCTAACCACTAAGAAGAGATCTCCTAACATCTGAGGTCAAAGACCTCTTCCTCACTGCCGGCAGCGCAATCTGCCTCCCATTCCCCCATCCCAGCTGGCGAGTTCCCTTCTAACTGCGGAACAAATAAGCAAATCGCCCAAGACTGAAAATACAGAAATAAAGGTTCGCCATTAAAGGGCCTCAGACTCCACTCCGCCCTGCTAGGATCTACTCGGCAGTCTTACCTTGCAGTCAGGAATTAACAACCGGCCCAAAACGAAAGCAAATCAACACTCTTCAGAAACTACGGACTTTACATGGAGCGCGCCATGACACCCACGTCCCGCCACGTTTATTTACGCATGCTCGGCGACGGTGTCCCGGAGAGGTCAAATTGCGTCATTGCTGAACGCGCCGGGTTCCGGTTTAACTTGATTAATAAGTTTCTTGGATTCCAGACAAAATACATTCATAGGTGTTTGGATTCTAGAATCTCTTCATAACTAACTTTTACGTAACTCTTATTGTCAGTCACTCTGCTAATCGCTTTACATAAACATTACCTCACTGTTTATTTATTATTACTATTTCTAAGCGTTTACAAAAGAGGGAACAGGGAGTTTTAAATACTTGGGCGAAGTTGCGCTTGAATCCCGTTTTGATTCCCAAAGAACCTAGTAGCTTCCTTAACCTTTGGGGAAAGTGGCTCTTCAGTAGGAAAGAACATTTAGTAGATTAAATGTAACGTAGATCATGCGACATCAAGCAAGTAATTTGAGATTTTAATTTTGGAATGCTGAGACAGCATGGAGGAAAACAGCGTTTATGGAGTATACTGATCCTAAATTGGTTGTTTTACCTATTGCTTCACTGTATTATTCTTGACTCAAGACACTGGTATTTGGTATTCTGCTTGCAGAAAGAACATCTCCACTTAAAAAAAAAAAATGTGGAGACAATAGGCCACCAACAGGACTCAGAAATCGTGACTTTATGCCCAACTTTGGGTTTCACAGTGATTTGGGACAAGAACTTTACATTTTGCAAATACCTTTCTGAGCACAATTTCTTCTAATTAAAATACCCTCCTTTTCTCTGCTTACTCATACCCATAAGAATCCCAACGGCCTCCTGCAGTCCTCCTCCAGCTCAGTAAAATTGTGTTGTCCCTGAGCTGCCTTCTTGCTTGTGATCCTACTGCCTGGCTCATAACCTTGCATACAATAGTGTCTTGGTAAACATATGTGAGTGAAAATCATGAAGTGAAATGCAGTAGTCCCTCCTAATCCCAATTCTGTTTTCCGATGTTTCAGTTATCCACAATCAACCACAATCCAAAAATATTAAATGGAAAACTCCAAAAATAAATAATCCATAAGTTTTAGACAGCTTTTGTTAGACTCCTTTGCTATAATTATGATATTTTGTTATGTTATTGTTCATTTGTTTCTTGCCTGATTTATAAATTAAACACTATAATAATTATAATTATATATGTTTAGAAAAATAGTATATAACTGTATAGGGGTCAATACTATTGATGGTTCAGGCATCCAGCGGGGAGTCTTAAAAGGTGTCCCCTGTAGATAAGGGAGAGCTCCTGTAAATTAGCCTCTGGTTGTCTTTGGACTGATACTGACTTTTCTCCATGTAATCTAACCACTAGGGGTCAGAGTGCTATACTTGTAACATCAGCTCTCCTATTCCAACAATTTACACAAATAGGTTTGAGTCAATTCTATAATGAATTTTATCTTTTCATGCTTACACTCTCAGTACAAGTGTTTGGGAGCTATACAAGGGCCCATGGCCCAGGCCAGAGCAATGGGAACACCGCATGTAAATCAAACAAGGCCAGCGTGAATTCTGGGCTCTCCATCAACTGCCAGAATGTGGGGCTGAACCTTCCAGGCTACCATGTGCAGAACCTGCCTGAGACCAGAACGATTCCAGAGGAAAGCATAGCTGAGCAACGAAAGGAGTAGTCAGTAAGCTCTAAACACAACTGGAAGCTCTTACTTTCAGCATGTGTGGAGCCAGCTTTATTCTGAGCAGTTTTGTGAAGAAGTAAGTCCTCCCTTTTTTCTTAAGATAATTAAAATGGATTTCTGTCCCCTCCAAATGAAAAAAAAAATCCCAAATTTCTTATTGCTACATATTCTCTTCTTAAAAAAAAAAGGGGTTGGGGGTGGGGCTGGCACTGTGGAGTTAGGCACGGCATCCCATATGGGTGCTAGTTCGAGTCCCAGCTGCTTCTCTTCCCATCCAGAAAACAGAATATGGCCCAAGTACTTGGGTTCCTGTACCCACTTGGGAGACCAGGAAGACGATCGTGGCTCCTGGCTCCTGGCTCCTGGCTCCTGGCTTCAGATCAGCATAGCTCTAGCCATTGCGGCCATTTGGGGAGTGAACCAGCAGATGAAAGAACTTTCTCTGTGTCTCTCCTTCTCTGTAATTCTATCTCTCAAAGAGATAAATAAAATCGGTGGAGGATGGCCCAAGTGTTTCAGCCCTGCACCCGCATGGGAGACCAGGAGGAGGCACCTGGTTCCTGGCTTCGGATCGGTGCAGCTCGACAGCCGTGGCGGCCATTTGGGGGGTGAACCAACGGAAAGGGAGGACCTTTCTGTCTCTCTCTCTAACTCTGTCTGTCAACAAATTAATTAATTAATTAATTAAAATTAAAGTTAAAAAAAATTTTTCCTGACAGAGAGTTCCCATCTACTGGTTCTCTCAAATGCCCTCAGCAGCCTGAGTGGGAGCCAGGATCTAAGAGCTTATTCAGTCCTCGCATGTGGGTGGCAGGGACCCAATTACTTGAGCCATGACCTGCTGGCTCCTAGGATGCACATTAGCAAGAAGCTAGAGTCAGGAGCAGAGCCAGGTATCAAACCCAAGAACTCCAATATGGGACACAGTATCCTAACCAATGTCTTAATCATTAGACCGAACACCTGCCCCTACATATTCTCTCTTAAAAAATATACTTTATTTATTTGAAAGAGTTATGGTGGGGGTAGAGAGACAGAAACAGAGACAAGGAGACCTTCATCACACATTCAATCCCCAGATGGCCACAATAGCCAGTGCTCATTTGGTCTGAAGCCAGGAGCCAGGACCTTCCCGGTCTCCTATGTGGGCGGCAGAGGCCCAAGCACGATGCTTTCCCATGTGATGAGCAAGGAGCTGGATTGGAAGTGAAGCAGCTGAGACTCAGTCTGGTGCCCATATGTGATCTCCATGTCACAGACAGTGGCTTTACCCACTATGCCACAACACTGGCCCCTATGTATTCTCTTGATGATTAAAAAATAATAATTTGCATGTGCTATCTAACTCCTTGATTGCTTGTAAGTATCTGTGGGAAACAGACACATAATGTTTTCTCTGTCCTTCAGTAATATATGACTCTATAAATTACAAAGCTGCAGGGGTCGGCACTGTGGTGCAGTGGGTTAACGCCCTGGTCTGAAGTGCCGCCATCCCATATGGGTACCGGTTTGAGACCTGGCTGCTCCACTTCCGATCCAGCTCTCTGCTGTGGCTTGCAAAAGCCATAGAAAATGGCCCAAGTTCTTGGGCCCCTGCACCCGTGTGGGAGACCCAGAAGAAGCTGCTGGCTTCAGATCGGCACAGCTCTGGTCGTTGCAGCCAATTGGGGAGTGAACCATCAGATGGAAGACCTCTCTCTCTGCCTCTCCTTCTCTCTGTGTAACTCTGACTTTCAAATAAATAAATAAATATTTAAATAAATAAATTACAAAGCTACAGAGTTGTATGATAATATATTTATGACATATGTACATTATACCAAGGATTGTACAGGAAACAATACAGACCAAGATTGCTACCCTTTTAAGAGTTTATATGTTAGCAGTTTATATGATAGACAAAACATACTGAATATGATATAAAGCTTATACAGTGTGTTCAAAGCTGATACTAACGGCCAAAAAAACCCATAGCAGGTTAAAGAGTACAAAGAGTCAGGGCTTGGGGCGGATGTTGTGTGGTATAGCAGGTAAAGTCCTAAGGGAGAAACATGACCTGCATGCCTGAGAAACAGCAGGAAAATTGGATTGTTCAGATAAGAGAGGAGTTCAGATCCAAAGTCCAGCAGGCCACAATTGGAACTTTGGCTTTTACTCTGAAAAAATGAGGGCCACCAGAGCGATCCAAGAAGAGGAATGGGCCAAGGAGGTCAGTTGGGAAGCTCTGCAATTTTCCAAGCCTCTACTGACAGTGTTCCAAGCCAGGGCAGAGATGGATGGAGAGGTGAAGAAAAGTAGTTTGAGTACAACCATATTTGAAGATACAGCTGATAGAACTTCCTGTCTGTTGGATTGAGGGAATAAGAAAAAATAAGTAAGTAAATAAATGAGGACTTTAAAGTTCTGGGCCTGTACAAGAATGAAATTGTCATCAATGGGAATGAAAAAGATGAGCAGCTGAGGAATGGGAAAGATTATGAATTTGCGGGTTTTAGGTTTTTTTTTTAAGTTTTCTCTTTTTTTAAGATATAGTCTTCTTTTTTTAAAGATTTGTTTATTTATTTGAAAGTCAGAGTTACACAGAGAGAGGAGAGGGAGAGGGAGAGGGAGAGGGAGAGAGAGAGAGAGAGAGAGAGAGAGCGAGCTTCCATCCAATGGTTCACTCCCCAATTGGCTGCAGCAGCCAGAGCTGCGCCAATTTGAAGCCAGGAGCCAAGAGCTTCCTTTGGGTCTCCCACGTGGGCTCAGGAGCCAAAGGACTTGGGCCATCTTCTACTGCTTTCCCAAGCCATAGCAGAGAGCTGGATTGGAAGTGGAGCAGCCTGGACTCGAACTAATGCCTATATGGGATGTCAGCACTGCAGGCTGGGGCTTTAACCCACTGCATCACAGCACCAGCTCCTTTAATTTTCCACTTTGAAATATTTTCGGACTATTCACAAGTTGCAAAAATATTTAATTCATGAATCACCTTCACATAGTATCCCCAGATGCTAACATCTTGTGTAACAGGAGTACAATGAGCAACACCATAAAATGAATATTGACATGAGACTATCAAACAGTCCCAACCTAGGACGGTTTTCATTCTTTGTCATCCATGAACTTGACATTTTTGAAGAGTAACAGTCAGTTATTTTGTAAGGCAGGCCTCTATTTGAGTCTTTGAGTTTGTCTAATGTTCCAGCATGGCTAAATTTAAGTTAAATGTTTTGGGCAAGAATACTACAAAAGGGAAGCCGGGCCTGTATCAGTCCATTGTATCAGGAGAGACAGATACAGCTCATTAGTGATGATGCCTCTGCAACACCTGGTTTCTCCACTGTGAAATGACTGCTTTCCTTTTGTTATTAGTAAGTGTCTTGTGGGAAAATACTTTGAGAATATATAAGTATCTTGTTTCATAG